CCCATATTCTACTGAATGTTAAGAGTGTCTTTTGGTGAAGTGGGCCTGCTGTAATTGTACCTAAAGTGAAAGGCTTTCCACCCCTTTTGCATACAAGAGTGCAGACAAACAATTGTTTGGGCAAATAATTTTACTGTTCTGAAAAATATTACCGGCTCTTAAAGTTCAGACTTATATTAGACTTCTATAAAAATCTTACTCAGAAGAAAAGCAATAAAGTTCAAGTATAAAAACTAAAGAAACCATTAACTTAGCCATGTCTATAGCTAAGATATTTTAATAAGGAAAAAATTTGCAGTTACATGGCAACAGGACAACTTACACATTTCTCACCATATTTTTGGTTAAAATATTTAAAAACCCAAACATTGAAAGTATTCGATAATTAACACATTTCTTGGTGATATGTAAGTGACTTCATGTACTGCTGCAGAAGGGAATTGACTTTTATTAGTGTCAACTCATCCAGGGGAATGAGGTTAAGGAAGTAAGTCATAGACCAAGCTGTCTAATGACTATTTCTTCCCTCACGAATTGCTATTTTTGAAATGAAATAGAAGCATTTCTGTGTTTTGAGTAACTCACTGGGAGTTTTACTTTAAAACACTTGTACACAACAAAACCATCACCTTCATTGCTGGCTACATGCTGCTCAAACAATATGGGGACCAACCAGTTAATGATAAGTACACAACTAACTCTGCCTGAGGGTCCTTGGGCTTTACTGTTGATGACTTTATGGGTCAAGTGAACTTGAGGCAAAATCTCTTCAGTAGTTCAATAAATCTTTTTACTGCATTTTCTGGAGCAAATAGAATTAGAGCAATGATCCAGAGCTTTGGATTATTTGAAAGTCCTTATATTCTTGGAAACTATTGCACAGTGGAACAATGTTTTAAACTGATACTATATTATATTCCAATCAAAATTTCAATGAACCATTCTAATTCCTAGATACACTGATATGAATGAATGATATCCAACCTAAGTATTATCTTAAAACTAAGTAAAACTGATATAGAATCTTTTCAATATATAAAATTATTGAGAAAAAAGTGTTTTTTCTTTTAGAAAATGTATGTATCTTTCTTCAAGATTAAATTATGAACATTCTCCAAATTTTTATGAACTTGCAGTCAGTTTTTATGATTGCATAATACATCATCAAATTCATATATTGACTTTTTCAAAACAAGTCTCAAATCTCAGACTTAGTGATTTTGTGTTTTTGCATCTTGAATTAATGATGTGATAAAAATTTGTAGAAGAGTTTTCTCATATTTGGAATTGTTTCTTTAGGATAGGTTGTAAGAAATGGTATTGCTTTAACAAAAATATTACTTTAGTTTTAATAAAAACAAATGTTTCTTTAATATGAAAAGACTATGCCAAGTTTTACTCCACTGAAAGAAAGGTTCATTGAAACCTCACCAAGGTTAGGCACTTTATAGTTTAATTTTTTAATTTTATTTTTCTTTTCCAGTACCGGGGATCAAACTCAGGACCTTGTACTTGTGAGGCAGGCATGGTGCCACTGAGCTAAATCCCTGGCCCACTTTATAATTTTTTAATGCTTGCTAACTTAATAGGGAAATATTGCTTTGTCTTAATTACTTTTTATTACTAGAGATTGTTCTTATTATTTTGTTTTGAGTTGTCTGCTCACGTCATTAAATATTTGTATCTGTTGAAGTATTCCTGTTTTTATTTAGTGATGTATATGAACCTCTTAGACATTGAAAATATCAGTCCTTGGCCTATCCACGCAAAATTCACCACAAATGAAAATTCAGCACTTCTGCCTTAATCTCCAGTTTTAAAATAACTATAAGTTCAAACATTGCTAAGTCTGAACTAAATCTTTTTTTTTTTTTTTTTTTTT